AAAAAAAAAAAAAAAGGGATGAAGGGAGGGATGAAACTCACCTCTTGTGAGGTTCCTGTTAATAGTCTCCTGGGACATACTATGCAACCGCTTCATGTAATCCTCACTGTACCAGACCCGCAGCCTCTCCCCAGGCCGGATGTCACGACAGGCTCGGAAGTATATCCTCTCACTGTGCTGAAAGGCCATCAGGTTCTGCTCTCTCTCCTCTCGGGATATGATCACATACCTGAGAGTAAGGTTATAAGGCAGATTTGAATAAAAAACTTTCTATCCTGTTTTTCCCACCCTTCACAGCCAAAGTGTACTGAACCACAACCACAATCATGCCAGAATGACCTTCAAAGAGAGCCAGAGAAACAGTAAGATTGGAGGGTATGGAATTATAGGTAATGATATGCAAATTGCTAGAGATACAGGACAATGAACACGAACAACTGAGGAATACTAAATAGTTTCTTTGGTCTGGGGTGCTTGTTTCTGCTTAGGAAAGAGGTTCTGACTGTTGCCGCTGTAACAACACGTGGCTGACCTGAAGGGATATCAGAGCCAGTGCTGGTGAGACAGTCACTCACCTTCAGCAAATTTCTTGCATAATATGTATTAAAAGGAAATGGTGAATGCCTGGAATCCACCGAACCCCATTCCATCCTAGGAGTCCCCCACATTCCTGGAATCTCCTTAAAATACCAGAACATCGTGGAGTCCCACCACTCCATCTGACAGCTTTCTAAACATCATCTCTCCCTTCAGTAGAAGCTATATTTCTTTGCCTCTCTTTTACTGAGTAAGCAATATTTGAGATAGCAAAAGGGCTGAGGTTCTGGTAGGCAGTAACATGTATATGAGGCAAATGTCTAGACTATGGCTAAAAAGGAAAGGATGGACTCCTCTGCTGACAGGTTTGCATCATATTGGTATCCAAATGCAAAAAAAGGTGCCAGTGTGGAAAAACCATAGATGCTTGAAAGCTGATACCCATATTGATACTATTCTGCTGGTTTATCCTGAACTGTTTGAAGTTCAAATATGGGATTTGACTACCTGCTCTCAAATTTCAGCTCACAGAGAACGTGGTAATTAAACATGTAAATCAGTCAATTTGCAGTTTGTAATATGACAATATATAAAACTAGAGGAAGGCTCACAGCATTCCTACTAGTGCCCCTTTTTTTTTAATGGTGGAAGAAAGAAGAAAGAAAAACATCCCATAGGCCCTAAAGATCTTAACTATTACCACCACCAACCTCCTCAGAGTTGCATAGGATTGGATACAGGCCCCTGTCACTATACATACACAACTGCTTGATATTTTTGAACACAGTGCAGAGGAATATTTTACAACATAGAATCTGCTTCTGCTTTGACTGCTTTTCCCTTCAGCCCTAAAAGACTCCAGATCTCAGAGATTCAAACTTCAACATAAGCCTCCTCCTACAGTCTCTTACTATATTACTCTTTATGAGTCAGCATCAAAACATAGCACAATTTTCTCTTTGGCTAGCAAAATCTGCACATTTTCACTTGAATTCTCACACTCCCACAAAATTGCAGAGGGGAAATAATTCATAAACTTGACCAAGTTTGGAAATACAAGAAAGAAGGTTGCAAGGCCTGAAATGAAGTTCAAGCACCTTTGGTTTTCATACTAAACAACAGTCTGGTTGACTGTAATCAGCTGTGTTTTAGACTATTGTGCATGTTCTCTATGATGCACTATAATCATTGATAATTCATTCAAACCACAGGCATGGTTTCCTGCACCATGTTGGAGGAATGTAGTACCGAAACCAAATGTGAGAGTTAACATGTGGTTTGTGTCAGGACATCCTCTCTCTGTGTTGCTAGTCACTTCACAAAGGATATAGTCAGACATTCAGAAAACACTTCCTAGAACACCCAGGAGATATGATGCCCTACTGCAGTTGTCAGTGGTTAGCACAGGAGGATGGCTGCCCCCAACACAACTAAAGTGTCAGGATGCTTTCCAGATTTTGCAGCTGCTCTGCATCTCCAACCGCCCACTGACTTCAGTGGGAACAATGACAAAGTCAGTCTGGTCCTATACACAAGCAGGATTAGTGTCAACTACTTAACATCTTTCACCAGACATTAGCAACCTTTTAATGGATCATCTAGTGTTTAAACTCATCAGGCCAGTGGGAAGCAAACTTTCTGGAGGCTGCGCCACAAATTAGCCTTACTCCCTACCCAAGTGCCACTCTAATCCACTTTTCCCATCCAATCTTCTGTTTTGCTTTCTGCTCCCAGCCCTGTGCTCACGGACCAATTTGCTGCTTTGCTTTCTGCTGCCTGCTCTATCTACTGCAGGGCTACCTGTCCCCTCCACTTGTGGCACCCGTGTTGCAGCTTGGCCACATCTGAATTTGCTGATGACAACAGTGCATTTTCTGGGCATTATAGTTTTGTACATTCCCATAACTGGAGTTGGCCAAAGAAAATTCAGTTAAGTTAAAGTTTGTTACATGGAGGAGGTCGAGAAGAAATTAGGTAGCATTTCCTACTGGGGCACACAGGAACAACTAATGTTAAAACTGTATTTCCCCATTCACTGTTCACCAGGCTTCCCCAAACCACTCAACATTTCTGCTTGCTCATGAGAGGCTCTAAGGACCCAAAACTCCACCTCTCATGTTCCTCTAACATTTATACTTCACCTGCCCAGCTTCCCCACATACAAATCACACTGGTTGTGCACTACTTCTTCCCTACCATGGCTCTAAACACAAACCGTTTAAATTGCCATTTCCTGACCTCCATTGTACTGTGAACTAGGGAAAGGGGAAGAGACAGAGAGAAGGAAGGGCAAACAGAGAAACACAGCAGATGGTAAAATCCTGGATCAGACCAGAAGTCCATCCATATCAACCTAGTGTTGGAAAGTGGCCAATAGCAGCAATTTCTGAGGAAGGTGCAAAAAGCACAAAAAGGGCCGTTATAGAAATGGATGCCAACCCTGGAGGCAAGTGGTTGGTTTTTATCCTGAAATAAGAGGGTTTAGAGCCCTTATATTTTCCCTTATCTACTCTAAATGGAGACAGTTTCATCCACATAACAAATTGTCATTGAATCTTATCAAGCTTCTAGCCTCAGGGTTATCATATGGCAGTGAGTTCCACACGTTAGATATGCGTCAAACAACAACGCTTTTCTATTCACCAGTTTAAAACATTCAGTTTTATCAAAAGTCATTGAACTGAGAACTGTCATCAGAGCAAGGAAGAACATCCTAGACTTTGTGGCATGTTTGAATGAAGGAGACAGAAAATTCCTGGTTGGAAGGAATCTGCATTTTTCCTAATAGACCTTATCCAGACAGATCTGGGTAAAGTCTAATAGAATTTACGAGGCAAAGGCTGCCAGAAACCTTCCCTCCTGGGCAGATCACTCCACTGTTGTCATTGCCAACCTTGGAAACAGCTGTTTCCCTAGCTACTAGACACCAGCCAGTGATTAGTCTGGGTCTTGCGCCTTGTCTACACACACACTAAAGTGACATCGTTCAGTGTTTCTGGCAACTGATGTAGCTAAAACAGACCATCCCCTTTGCGTGGGCACAAGGCACTCAACTCAAAGCAAAGCCATCTACACAAGGGTGCTGGAGTCATACTAGCTTCTAAACAGATTTACTTGAAATGAATTTTGTGTTTAGTAGGGCTATGCGAAATTTCGACAGGTGTTTTGTTTCAAAGCTGTTTCGATTCGTTTCAAACTCAAAACTGAGAAACTGAAATGAAACGAAACGCTTTGAAACAGCTTCGAAACAAAACAAGGGCACTTGAAAATTTGGAAGGTTTTGAAACATTTCGAGTTTCAAATTGTGTGGGCTTGCTTGCAGCTAAACAGAAACTAAGGGGGGGAGGGAAGGACTGCTCTGATATTGACATCTAGCTCCTGGTTCGATCCCCCAGCTCTCTGATCATTTCCCCAGTTCTTCCCAGGGGGTGCAGGCCCCTGATCTGTGTGTGGGGTTTCACCAGGCTGCTGCTGCAGGCTGGGGCCAGCAGCAGCCACTTAGTGCTGCCCATGCTGAGTGCTGGGAAGACTGCAGTGCTGCCGCTGGCCCTAGCCTGAAGCGGCAGCCTGATGAAACCCGGTGCGCAGATCCAGGGGCCTCCGCCCCCTGGGAAAAGCTGGGGAAATGATCAGAGAGCTGGAGGAATCGAACAGGGAGCTGGGGGAATGTTCAAGGTCCCCCAGTTCCTCGTTGGGTTCCCCAGCTCCCCAGTCTTTCCCCCAGCTCTCTGATCGCTTGCCCCAGCTCTTCCCAGGGGGCACGGGATCCCAGACGATGAGGGATGACAGCAGGCTGCTGCTGCCGGCAAGTGATATGAGTTTTGTTTTGAACATTTTAAGGTGCAGTTTCCCAGAAACTCCTGCACCTATCTCCTTGAAACCTGACAGGCTTCATGCCCTCAGGCAAGGCTACCCTCCCTGCAATTTTCTTCCAAATCAGCCAAGAAATGAGAAAGTGATAGGCATTTTCGCAAGTCCCCATTATAGCCTATGGGCGAAACGTCGAAATGTGCCAAAAGTGAAACGAAACACTGTCCCTTCAAAATGGTGAAATGGAAGTTGAAACAAAACGGTGCTGTTTTTCACAGTTCTAGTGTTTAGGCAAGAGCTTAAGACATAAATGGAAGATCCTATTCCCAAGCAACTGTTCTAAGTTTTACTGGCCATTGCACACGGAGAACGATACTAGTGACCCTGGACACACAAACCTATTCATGTAGTCATTTCTCTTTTGGTGAGAGGCCCAGAGTAAAGTGAAAATAATTAGCTTGAGCCTTCTCATGTGCAACAGTCTCATTCTCTATATTCCCTGGGTTAGACAGGCCTAAGTGCCGAGTAACAGCAAAGCCATCTCTAAGACTGAATGAAGATTTTGTCCAGCCTCCTCAAATTCAGCTAAATGCCATGCCCCAAGAGTGGACAGGTATTCACTGTAGTACTGAGATATAGAGGAGCCTTTCCTGTACTTGCTAGTATGTATTGACTTGGATCAATTCCTTAGCTGTTGGAAAAGTAAGTAGTAGTGACCCCAGCTATACAGAAGCTGGCCCTGCAGTATATACTTTCAATCTGTCAGCTCAGTGCTCTTCTAAATTCCTTTTGACCTGCTTCTCTCTCTAGGCGAAATTTGTGGCCAGGGTTATAGTATTTATGTAGTTCCACATGCATCCTTTCTTTGAGGAAAAGCTGCTT